GATTGTATAAGTCGTATTTTGATTGGTGGATAAATCACATGATAAAAAGCCCGACATAAAGTCACAACATGATTCTGGATCCATCATAATCATCCTGCAAGTGCTTCTTTTGAGATCATCGCTGCAACTCCTTGCGTTTACGGAGCATCTTCTTCATGACCAGAGTAGAACAGCATCTCTACCGAATCTGTCCTTTTCTGTCCAGCTGATTCCAAGCGCCGTCAAGTGGTATCTCCTCATTTCCGTAGCTACTCGATTGGTCCACCCGATCTCCCACACCGTCCGAACATTCTATGTACCTATATAAATTGTTGCCCTGGTTGTTAGAAGTGGCATCAACCTCGTGACTTCCGAAGAATCAAGGCTTTCACCATGTGGAGCCATAATTCTTCTGAATGAAAATCCTTCAACTTGGATTAAATGATTCAATTTGTTTATTCTGGTTAGCGACTTTTAGCAAAGTCGTTTTCTACGGGGTGGGGTTGCTGACCTCATGTCCAACCCTCCTCGTTTATCAGAGTTGAAATCGGCAGTAATCCTCAATGGGTTACAGCTGATAACTCTCCCTTTAAGCCAAAAATTCGATTCGCTGAATATTTTACTGACATTGACAATTATCTTGTTATTTTTTCTTTATATTCAAATTGCATAATTTACTATTGATGAATATAGAAATTATTTTAAATATTGATTTAAACCGAAAATCTAATAAAGAAATGCATAGATCCTGTAGAAATGATCACCACTAAATTGTTAAACTTGATAAGACTAATAATTTTAACTGATTAACTTTGAAAGTATTTTTTTTTATTATCTAGTCAGATAATTAGAATATTTATTTAGACCCTTTTAATAAAGTGATATGTACTAATAATGTATTAATATTATTTATGTACACAAATATTTGGTTAACAGTTAACTAGTTAATTTGTGAACAAAATGTAATCGTTATTTTACAGAGAATCTGAATGTATGTTGTTATGATATTCTGTTTTGTCATATATTTATTGAATAACAGATAATGAAATAGTATAATAATGAAAGGATATTTTTAACGATTATAATTTACAAATCATGTACAATTATTTCTGAATGTATAACATTCTATTTACCGATTTAATACCGATAAACTAATCGGTAACTACACAAACTAAACCATTATATTGACGAAACTTTTCATAAATTAAAGTTTATGTTAACATTACTTGTAGTTGAATAATTTACTATAATCTCATTGATACTTTAACAAGATTTCTGGCAATTTTATTAGTAATAATCAAATGAAATAACTAGAAGTAGGCATTGAACATATCCAAAATGACAATGAATGCTCTTCAATTAAACCATCTAACTCAGAGAATTCAATACTATCAAAAGCATTCACCTGAAATATAAATTTTCTCTATCATTTCTAAAAAAATAAAACATAGAGCTATTACTTACCCTAATTTATTATGATAGTAACATTTTTATTTTCTTGTTTAGGGCTTTTAAATGATTCGGAACAATAATAAACTTCTTATTCAATAAAAATATATGTTTGCAGAATTTAGTTTTTGTAGTTATTTCTACTTTTCAACACACTTTAAATTCAAACAATGAAAATTGACTATTAGGTTAAAGGATTGAAAACTGCAGTTTATTTAACTTATATGAAGATATTCATCTGAAAGAAGTTTAAGTATAATCAACTTCATCATAACTGTTCTTATACTTATAGTCATTATATATAAAGGGAGTCTAACAGTGTACAAAACAAATGCTATATATATATATATATATATATATATATATATATATATATATATATATATATATATATATATATATATATATATATATATATAATTTTCACAAAAAAGTGCATTTCTTTTTAAATTAATCCTATCATATTTTACAAGCTGATGTGTCACTAAACCATTTCTATTACTTAGAAAGTATATAGTTGAGGACGAAACGTATTTATTTATTTAGACACATGAACATTGGTACAAGGAGGCACCAAATATATATGCACCACACAGATCATTCGATTTCTGTGAGGGTTGGAATATTGTCCGGGAACCCAAACCGAAGTAGGTGGTTTTCTTAGAGAGCCACTCCCTGAGTCTTTCACCTAAAGGTTTAATCCATATGGCAATGGAACGACGTTAGAAGATGCAGTCCCATAATACCCGGTGACCAACAATAGGTTTATACGCCATTTATTCCCTTAGGATCCCGTAGCCCATGTGCATGATTGGTTTGGAATCAGGGTTTTCTAACTCCTCTAGGTGGATCCTCCATACCCACCAACCCAATTAAAGCGCTGGACTTTCGCTTTTAGTCCTTTCAATTTCGTAAACAACACCCCCCCCCGCCGCCAGGAAGCAGTGACTATACATGTCGCCATGAAAGAGCAGTTAGGAACTAGTACGAAATGAAGAATCTGGTACCTCATCATGCTTCACAAGTGATTCGTAATATTTTTGTATATTTTTGTATATATATATATATATATATATATATATATATATATATATATATAGATAGATAGATAGATAGATAGATAGATGGCAGATGTATTGTTAGATTGAGATTTCACCAGATGTAAAACTAGGTAAATTTCAAGTAATCATGTGAAAATATTGTTCAGAGTCAAAGGGGAGCAGAATATTTTACTACTGTTTACTTAACTCTTACTAATGATATAGTTTTTCAATTCAGGCTATCAATAATTGAAAAATCGATATCTGTACTTAGGGGCAGACTGAAGTTATTCGTTACCTTTTCTATTGCTTAAGAATTTAAAACTTATTGTATATGTCTACATCTACATGTTTATTTTCAGGTTACGTATCTACTGATTGGGAAGTAAAGTTTAGAGACGAGTTTCAATGAAGGCTTTCGAACATTCTGTTACTAGTTCAAATGATTAAACTAATAACCATAACTAATAGGTTTGTCAAGCAAATAATCTAGGCTGGTCATTTTTCAGGATAGATTCTCGTTGCAGCATCATAATCCTACTAGACAGCGCTGGAGTAAGTGGTTATGTCACTAAGTGCTCAAAGGATAATGACTTACTATTTCAATTATACTATAGTGATTCCTCCGATTTTTAGTGAATAAGGACGATAATTGAAATGTTAAGATGACTGTTCGAGACACAACAGTAACTTATTCATGTTACTGCCTATTAGAAAATCTAGTATCTTACGATAATAGCCGTAGTGACAGCTGATTTGAAAAAAATATCTCGAAGCCTTCGTCATGGCTGATTAGTGTTTCATGAGCTATATTAATAGTTTAGGAGCCCAACCCGAGGCAAAATTTAAACCTTCGATTAGCCAGTAGTAGAAGGCTATGATTTAATAAATTAAAGTCGTATTGCTTGTTTGTTGTAGTTACCGGTCTACATAATAATAAGAGCAACATGAGAAAATCAGAGACGAGTGCCAATAATACTGATGAGAAGTCAATGATTCATCGAGAATAAGCAGCCTGAACATTTTGATTTGTCATCTAGTGCCAATAGTTTTTCTAACTGCTGAATGTATTTCTGATTATTCAAGTATCACTCATTTAAAGTTTTTAAAAAGTACTGGCAAACTTTCTTTCATTCTTAACGGTAGTTATTTATTATCGATTCAATTAATGGAGGCATGAGAGATCGTAATGAGCTTTCCAGAAACATCCATCTCCATTTTAGAGCAGTATTTCGTTTGACACAATTAAGACAGACCCAAAGCCGACAAATAGACCTAGAATAAACCCTCCCCCCCACGAATTTTTATACTGTATCCAGTAAGACAGGAGACAATACTTCAGGTGGAACAGATGGATGACCTACAGACATTTTATTAGGATGAACATGATAGTCATTCTATCTACTAGTACTGGTACATTCATTTATCATGTTTTGAGTGAGGGACTTGGCTTACTAAATCAAACTTCTCCATATTATTGAAGGGTTGAAAATAGTAGGTTATTTGGCCAGAATCGTCGACTGACTATGAAACATGGAAAAAAGTAGGTATCGTTGTTTGTTAGAATTCCTGTATGGAGTGAAATACCCAAAATCCCAAGTCTGTAGAGATTGTTGTCAGAAAGCCAGTCAACTGAATGACGCTGAACTTCTTGATGTTAATGGGTTCTACAGTATTGAGTATACTAATCTGTTTCATGTTGGTAGCTCTGGGTTGTATCGAAGTTTTTGCTGCGGCGCTTAAGACTACTTTACTGCCAATTTGGGTTATGATCCAAGATTGATTTGTACTGACACCCTAAAAATAAGGAGATTAATATTTTACAAAGTCAGTTTTTCCACCTACCAGGATATATACATTTAGCATACAATGCTAATAATAGTCTTAGTGAATGTGTAAATAGTACCATCATTTCTGAAAAGTGACCGACAAGAGATGATATGGTCGAACTAGACTAATTTGCGAAATCTTCTACGTGTTAAAGTGCGGATTATAGTCAAGAGGCGTATTATTTGATAGGTGACCGGAGTGATTCACTAAGTCTCCATCTAAAATGAAGTGTGACGTCAGCCTAATTATCAAGATAATAGAGGAAACGTCAATCACAAAACCCATATATCATGAAACTATTGACAATTGCTTCAAGAACAGAGTATGGACTCTGGTATTTACGATAAAAGGGATCGAAGGTTTAAGATATAAAGTGAGATATCTCAGAATTGTTAGTTGAGATTGTTCTTTACAATTCTGACGTAATTTACCCCACAGATTTTCTTAGTTCGCTTATGATCTACTTGGTTTCTACTTATCTTGAATACAGATTTTGATTATTTTTTCGACATACTGTTCCCAAGTAAGATAGCTTGAATCTATGTTCAGAATTTACTTTGAAAGAGTTTATCCATAGCATCTACCATGTAGACTCAGATTTAAGCAGTGCATTTTTTTCTTGTTTAACAATATATATCAAGCTCATTTAGTTTCATACTGGACTGAACAAATAGACCATAAACCAACGAACTCCGAAACGCTAGAAATAACTACATTTGAGTGAATTCATATTTAAAAAGAAATTTCTTATTAAAGAAAACAAAATTACATCAGTAGTAATACATTAATATAAGGTTTGACAATGTGAATGTGTGTATAATCTAGCTCAACAAAAATTGGGATAGCCACGTACAGATATACAATGGCCTGTACAAATATACAGAAAATGGCAAAAAATCACATGATCTCACCACTGGGGAAAATTGAAGTGAGAAGTAGACAGCGAAATTAATACAGAATGAATTTTAAAAAAGCATTCTGGGAGGTCAAAAGTACTATTTACACATTTTTGTAATAAAGAAAAATAACAAGTAGTAGTGAGAACTCACAGATAATTCATTAATCAAATTCATATTATATATACATACATCTGAATAAGAAAAGTTTAAACTTAACACAAGTATTTCAAGAAAAGTCAGCTGAAATATAGATAAATGGACAACAATATTTAGCCCTAATTTAATTTCTGCTGGAAAACTGTTGAAGGAATGAATTCCTGTCGAACAAGATGCTGTTTACTTGGTATATTAGGATACTCTGAAACAGATGATGGGGTGTTAACAAGATTAGCTGTTTGACCAGGCCCTAATAACTGTGATAGCATTACAGACGAATAATGAGGAGAGGGTTGAACTGCCCGATTAGGACTCATACCAGCAGAATTTACAAGACCCATGGAAGGCATTGAGAGGCTGTTCGTACAACGTGGAAGTGACGCCATTTGTGGCATTACAGTATTAGCACATCGAGATATGTTAGAAGCAGGAGGTGAAATAGGAATTTGATTGGTCATAGGTTGAGGCATATTTGTTTGAGTCATGTAGCGTTGAGGAGAATTAGATGCTTGAGTTGGAGATATAGTTGTAGATGGAGGTTTACCAACTTGTTGATGACAAGGAATTGAAAACTGTTGATTAGATTGTTGATTAAAACTTGGAGGAGTTACTGCTTGCCGAAAACGAGGTTGTTGTGTGGGCAAAGAGGACCAAGACTGTGATTGGTGTGACTGAGGATTTCCAATAATCTGCTGCTGTTGAACCTGTGAATACGGATACCTTGACTGAGGAGGTAAAGAACGCGATCCAGTAAATGACTGAGAATTTTGTGGAGTCTGACAAGCAGAATATGTACTATGTAGCTGAGCTCCCATAGGGCAATGGGGAGTAGAAGTACTAGGCATACATCCGGACATTTGAGATAACTGTTGTTGTTGGTTGTGTAAATGTGATTGTTGAATATACTGCCACGCCCTCACATATTGTGGACTGGAGTTTAACCAACTTGAAAACTGTAATATAATATTAACCAAAATACAATATTTGCAAAGAAGTGTACTATAATAGAAATAATTATATAAATGCTGATGAAAAATAACTCCAAATACGATCACTATCATCGAATATGTTTCATTCTTAGACATATTTATACAGTTATAATTAATAAAAATGTTGACTAGCATGAAAACAGTATGTGCGAAATTGTAATAGCGAAAAATAAGCTGAAATTAACAGTTGATGTTCCATTTAAAAACCTTAGATTTCATGTTCATAATTATTTCGAAACAATTATATGATGATCATCGCACTTGCCTAAAAATTATTAATGCTTGGTTGGTTAGTTCCCATCACAGTATCAACATTGCGACTATATTATTTTATAACCAGGTCTATATAGCTAATATCATATATATAGCACAATAAATCAAATACTTGACATCTTATCTTGCTTTGGTTTCGAGGTTGATTCCATTTTACTTCTATGATTAATTGCATTGATGACTGAAAAATTCGCCCGAGATGTCTGTGATTGAATGTCTACGGCTCTGTATCTTTTACCTTCGAGTATCATGGTTCACAACAGCGCAGTAGGATAAATGAAACTACAGAGTACACTTCAGTAAATAGTTGGATTCTTTACTTACGATAAATTACATGTTAAAGATTTTTCTTGTTGACACATTAGGTGTACTTTTAAATCAATTCTAAAGTACTTTAGGGTTTGTAGATGGGAAAAACAATATCATTATTCTGATTTTATTGTTCACGGTGTTCAAAAGATTGGATTTTGTAACCATTTCCACAAAACAGAATAACTTTTTTGTGTAATCTTCAAGTGTAAGATTAATTCTTTTTAGAATAATATCTATTCATATGCTCTGTTAGTTACGAAATATTTCAAATGTAATGATGACAAAGTATACACTTGGGAAATTCTATGATTAAAAAGATACCAGTAAGCTTTTACATTTGTTGGACACTGACTGTTACAGAATTTCATAATGAAGAAAAGCTGGTTAGGTGATCATGAACTTCCTAACAATTAGGGTAATAATTTAGACAATTGAACATAATAGTTACTATAGGCTTTGATAACACCACACACGAAATATGTGGCTAAAAATTAAGTAAATAAACTTGTAATTAACTAAACGAGATATGTTTTTCTATAATTTTCATTTATCCAAGGAAAATTTAGATAAAATAGTCTTGTAAAACTATTGTACAGTTACAGATAGAAAAATAATATAGAGAATTTCTTACTAAATAAATCTTGGTGCTTAAATACATTCATTATAAATATGGATGAGTTGAATAGAGAAAACGTTATAAAAAATAATTGATCGGAATGTCGAGAAATATGTGCTAAAATTTTATTTATTCTAATCAAATAAGTGCTAATCAATATTAATTGAACTTTCCATAATAATAATAATGATAAACTTAAATTAATAAACATGAAATTCACAAACTTTTTATATATACAAACTACTTATCAAAAGCCAAAATATTATATACTGTAAATAAACATAAACATTTCTAATGAGTTTGGTGTAAATTGTATTCTTGCCTATAATATGACAAACTAGTTAGAATAATTTACAATTGTAGGAATATAAGTGTAACTTAATTATTCGACAAAAGATTATTTCACATTAATATATTGGGAAATTTAGTGTTACAAAACTATATCAATTTAGGAATAAGTATCAAAGAGTAATATTAGAAAGTGTCGAAAAAATGATTGATTTAATTTCTAGATGTAACTACAATACGAGTACTTCAAATTATTTACGACTAAGGAACTTAACGTTTCAGTATACTAAGAAAATATTGAAAATTATTATGAATAATTTCGGTTTATTACTGTTCTTATAAGATGATTCAGGTGCATAGATCCATGTACGACTAACATCTAGCAACTCTTCTAATTCATGTAGCTTAAAGTTTAAAAGCGACGACTACATACTACGTGATTGTATACAAACAAAATATCGTAGGATAGAAAATGAAGTACACTTTAAGTAGGTCGTTTCCTGTAAGACTAAGACGGCGAAATAATTCTAATAGAATCTAAATGTTTACTCTTCTATGCTTATAGTAAATGGGAGGGAATCCAAGAGAATAAGTGTAGGTTGTAATAAGATAGTCATAAAGTAAATTTGTAAACCGATCTTTCGCAAAATAGAGCTGTAAAATGCATGGGATGCGGCTAATTCACCATTAAAATCAAACACTGGGGATAAGACTTGATTTGGTCTAACTAATTCATGTGGATTTTTGGGATCAGAAGACTATGATAACCAAAGTTCTCATCACTTAGATAAGAATTACTTGACATTTTGAATGATGTTCTGCGGAATTATTGCTAAGGAAAGTTTTGTTTTTCACTTAGACTGGATTTTGAAGGGAGATGAATATCACTTAAAGGCGGTTGTGTATAGAAAGGTTATTTTGATGGAAAATTTGACAAAAATTCAGAAACAAACTAAACAACTTCTGGTAAATATAAAGCTCAAACCTCAATCTGACACAACCACAGTTTTGGTATGGACTAAAGAATCTGTCCTACTGCAATAAACTATTACACACACGAATAAACGCAGTTTCGAGTCACTATATTCAAAAATACTAACCTAAAGCACTTAAGAGAAGTATTACTTAGAAAACCTAAGGCAAACAAAAACTGAGAACAATCCCACAGCACACTCAACTAATGAACTGCATTCCATTAAACTATTTAATCTCCTAATCAACTTCGAAGGCATAAAAGAACTTACTGAGTAACAGACATAAAGGTTAAATTAACCACTGAAATATATTCAAAAATCTATCAAAATCAAAAGGAATATAAAATTGATTTACCTCAGACGCCGGAGCACCTCGCTGCCGCATTGTAGTATATGCTTGTTGAACGATCCGCACATCCTCTGGAGAGATGCTACACGGAACAACAACACCAGTGTTAGGCGAGGTTGTTGATACTATGGATTGAGAGGACGTAGATTGCATAGGTGCAGACCGAACGATTGATGTATTTGGTTGAGTAGAGCTAACAGATGACCCTGATGGATACATAGTACTGCCTGGAGGTGCAGTTCCAGGTTGCCTCCAATTAGAGTTGGAAATAGTTCCTGATGAAGTTTGATTAGGAGGTAAAAGGGTTCCAGGATTATGCCCTTCAATAACTTGAGAATAAGCTAGTGAAGGGTGGTGTGTAACCGCTTGTTGGGATTGCTTATTGAAAATGTGATTATTATGTTCAGTTTCTCCCTGAAACCGACTTGACATTATTTGCTGGGGATACGACGGGTCAACATCCATAAGAGTCACACCTGGTTGGTGAACAAATGGTTTTGGAGATAATGCATCTATGGGAACTGAATTGCTTGTAATCAAAGGTCGATGTGCGACTGAGTGTCCAGAAGTAGATCCATGTGACTGGATGCTATGTTGAGAAACAACGTAATTGGGGGCCCAATTATTATTAAGGCTTGTTTGTGGGCGTTCCTGTATATGATGTCGCTGCATTTGTTGCTGGGTACTGAAAGATGTTGTAGGCTGGGTACAAGATAAAGAATATTTTGATTGAGACTGAAAAGCATAACCTGTCCTACTGATATCTACATGTGTGTTTATCAGCTGGTCCGATTCTAAAGTTCCAACTGGCTTATTATGAATCCCAGTTGACTGGGGGAGATTTTGAACACAAGTAGAGACTGGCATAACAGATATTGACGGGGATCGTGGAACTGACGGACTAGACACATATGCCTTTGATGAATGAGAAGTTTGTTGAGAATTCTGATAAGATGATGGACAAGGAGGGTGAAAAAACGGACTTTGCTGTGGAGATTGGATAGAAGATTGACTTCTTGAATGTGGAGAGGTAAGGTTGTAGGAAACAGTAGTAACAGCTGTAGAAGCAAATGGCGATGACTGCATAGGTACAGACATAGGGGAAGATATGCAATCAGATGTCGAAGATTGAGAACATTGTTGATAATTTTGAGATGGTGGGGGAGTTGGTTGATGATTAGGAGTCATGCTGTTACAGCGCTGCATCGTGGCCATACGTCTGCGCAACATTTGTGTTTGTTTTAGGCGTTGTTGCTTTTGCTGTTGCTTCATTTTTGCCTTAAGTTTAGGACATAAAGGTACAAGACACTTCAATTCATGGCAAGTTTTGGAATGATAGCAACATAAATAATAGATGAATCGACAAACAGAACATTGATTTCGATCTGTTGAATGTACACGAAAGTGTTGCACCTGATATTTCATTGTCTTACATGCATATACACGACAATTTGCATCACGACAATAACAGCTATGACCCAAGGCTTTTACCCAACGACTCAATTTATCTCTTCCTGATTCCTGAATAGTTGAATCGTTACTTTGCTCTTGTCCTTTGTTACAATCGTCAAGTCCAATACCTATTTTCACCATAGGGTGAGGATGGTTTTCGGTTTCATAGCATCGGGGACATAAGTCATATTCGATACATTGTTTACAATGCCATGGAGTTTCCAGTTGTGCACTACAAACATTGCAAGTGTACATTAGAGGTTGACGATTTTCATTATGTAATTCATATAACATCACCAAAGTGGAATATTTAGCACGTCGTAATGATGAAAATTCCAAGTGCTTTTCACGAGCTTTTTCTAAGAAAGCACCACGACATTCCATTAGCTCTGAGTTGATAAGTGGATCAGGATCCTTAATTGGTGGAAGTGCAGCGACTGAATTTTGAGGATGCAATCGAATGACAAAGAAGTTTTCCTTATGTTTCTCCATTATTTCGTAGACACGACGTGCAACTTCATTTGCAACATCACCTGAACCTATACCACCCAGGCGCTTTCGTTTACCTGTGATCGTTATAGAAGCACTACGTTTGAGCTTTCTTCGTTTGGCTTTCTTCTTTCCCGGATTTTCATCGGTTTCTTTAGTTTGCACGTTTTCTTTTGCCTCATCATCGTCATCACCACCGCGAGCCAATGCTTCTTGCTCCTGTTTTCTTTTGGCATCTTCTTCATCCATTTCCTATAGAAGAGGTTTTTAAAAAACAATATTTTCGTCACACAAACTTGTAACCTCCTAATAATATGTAGGCTAAATAGTTGACATCAGATTACTGATTATTAGGGATTTGTTATTCTTAAAATAGCAATAATTTACTATAACAAAATGTCAATGGTGCATATTGACTATAATACCTCTTAGTTAACTAAGTAACAGAACTGAATTTGAATATGCCTAACATTAGTCGACCCTCTCAAGTTCATTACAACACAGTAATAAACAATTTTCGCTGATGTATTTAGAGACAAACTGTTATCTTTCTACCAGGGGGAATTTGTGCTTGTACTCACTTTTTGTGGTGAACAGTTAAAGAAATTTGAAAAGTTTGCATCCTAGTAGTTGAGTGAGCGGCTAGCAGTGGAATCTAGGACGCGCGTTTAGTCCTACTTGGGACTCGTTAGTTGGATGTACCTGCATCCCAGAGTTGATGTTCACTCTGGGACTCGAACCCAGTACCATTCGCTTCAAACGCTATCGCGTTATCCACTCAGCTACTGAGTCCTGATAGCCACTTGCTTGTGCAATAGGGTGAATTTGAATTCACTTGGTATTGTTTGGCTTGTATCTTCCCATTGAGGTTTAAGACTGCTAGCCACTATCCATCATTGCTTACAAATAGCTTGTGAATTAAGGTAATATTGAGGCATACGCACAGTATGCACATATGCCAATAACAGACTGATCAATTGCAGTCTTAAACCTCAATGGGAAGATACAAGCCAAACAATACCAAGTGAATTATCAGATATGGCTCAGAATAAAAGCCAGTTGTGGTCCCTCTGTAGTTTTCTATTATACTTCTCATAATAGTGAGATGAGCTTTATTGAGAAGCATTTAGCAGTTGCTTTTCTAGCTGAACTGCATTTCTCACTAAATGCTATTCATGTTCAATTATTTATTGTTTGTACTACTTTTCATTCTTTATTTACTCAATATTATTACTTCCCTTACGTGAAACATTTCTGGTGCTACTTTGTATCATGATTCATTTGCTTCAAAGTAAAATGAATTTTTCAATTAGAACGTTGGATGTCATACATACTTGTTAGCAGAATAACTAGTCACTTTCGAAATTACACTCTCGTAGACCAAGTGAGAGGTTTAAAACTATTCACAACCGAAACAAATTCATCAAGAAGCTTTTAGCGAGTTTCCGTGAAAAGCAAACTCGAAAAGACCTAATTCTTTAGTATTATATTCAGAAAATTTAGAAATCGCCCAGATATGTAGAAAAATATTAGTAATAATGAAAATAATTATTTATGAACTTAAAGACTATTGGATAACATAAATCGTTCTGTTACCATTGGTTTATCGCATGTAAATACGAGTTATTTTTTTAATGACAGCAGCTGGAATGCGAACGAATTTAAGAATAAGGAATGAGTTTGTAGATAGCGAGCGTACTATGTAAGGATTTGACTAGGATAGAAAAATGCCAACCAACGAGTTACTAATGTCTCAATTGTTGTGAATCTTAAGTGTCGTATTTATGTTCATATCCTCGTGTTAGCATCTTCATTTCGATTTAACTCAAGGCATTTTCATATGAAAGTCACAGATGAACCTAAAGTTAGTAAGCATTTACTATCCGTAAGCCAATTTAATTAGGGAGCGGAATCGATTTCGAAACATAGTTGCAATAGAATTATTTAACAGACCAGGCTTCAAATCGAAATGGTAATTAATTTATGATGCATTCCCGATCGAAGCTGCTACCTTGACGCGGTGGTCGGGCTTGCCTATCGTGATGACCCAACCGAGCTATATTGGCTGGAACATATGTTCCTGCAGGTTCTACCATGCCAGGCAGGTCGATTGGCGAACGGTAAGACTAAAAGCAGCAACTCAAGGTCTGAGGGCGAAGTCGTACTGCTGACTGTAGAGAGGTGTGACAGCAGTAAGGTGTTTCCCTCGGACAACCAGCATGACAGCGATGCTGCCTTCCCACAAGGAGGGGTGGGGTTAGAAAAGGTCGACCCTAAAAATGCACACCTCACCTTACCTCACGGATTTCCGTCTCCGGCGGTAAGGCCCCTTGAAGAACGGAGCTAACACGTCAAAAACCTTCCACAAAAAGGCCGTGCGCGACCGGCCTCAAGCAGTTGTCCCTTGGGCTCTGCGGTCACGCTCCCAGGTCGTCAAGACCAACACTAATCCAATTTCCTTTTCAGGTTCCTCAAGAAATACCCTTCCACGGTGTGGGCAGCCGGGAAGTGACATCAGCCCTCATACCCGTAACAGCACACGAGACCAAGGTGGTCACATTCAAATCCTTCCTACACCTCCTAATACCTCTCTTATCCTCCCGACTAACCCTCCTCACGTCTCTTTATCACCTCGCACCGCTAGGGCAAACGATTCGAGTACGTGGAACGCCATTCCTGGTCTCCTGAAACCACGCTCTAAACTACACGTAGGAGCTTTTAACGTACGAACACTTTGTCAAATAGGACAGCAGGCTTCCTTAGCTAAAACTTTAGAATCTCGCGCCATCGACGTGTGCTGCGTCTCCGAAACGCGCATACAGGATCCAAGTAGTGTCATTCATTTGACCTCACCATGCCAAAATAAAGAACCGACTCGATTTACGCTTCGTGTATCTGGAAGCCCTGATTCTGCTTCCCGTGGCCTCGCCGGCGTAGGTATAGCATTGAGTCCTAGGGCAGAACTAGCTCTCTTAGAGTGGATCCCAGTAGACAGTCGTTTGTGCGCTGTCCGACTGAACGGAACAGTAAGAATCCGGAAAGATAGGGACACTCGTCGTTGCCTCTTCGTCGTCTCTGCCTATTCTCCCACTGACTGCAGCTCAGATGATGTAAAAGATGAGTTTTACAGAAAGCTTTCGGACCTTCTCCGAAAAGCTAAGCGCTCGGATGTAGTAATAGTGGCCGGTGACTTTAATGCTCAAGTAGGTAAACTAAGCGATAAGGAAAGACACCTAGGTGGATCTTATGGTGTCGTGGCTCAAAGAACAGATAATGGCGACCGTCTGTTGCAGCTATGCTCAGATAACCGCCTGTTCCTTGCAAATACTAACTTTAAGCATAAGGAAAAACATCTTTTAACATGGCGACCCCCTAATTCGTCCCAACGTTGGACCCAAATAGATCACATCGCTATCAGCCACCGATGGAGGGGCTCGATAGAAGACTGTCGCTCATTCTGGAGCACATGCCTAGATTCAGATCATGCTCTAGTGCGAGCGCGTATTTGCTTGCGTCTTACTGGACGTAGGAAAGATCCTGCAAGGAAACCTCTTAGGGCCTACTTAATGATAGTCAAGCTAAGAATATATTTCAGGAACAACTAGGAAAACAGTTAGGCAGCCATGTATGTGATGCCCACCCCGAGGCAGCATGGAACGATATCCGAAAAGCTGTGGAAACAGCAGTGATATCTGCTAGTAAGGTAAACCGTAAAGTTAGGGAGCAACACTGGATCTCAGCAGCATCTATCGCACTGATAGATGCTCGAAAACTCATTCCACCTGGCTCTGAACATAATGAAGAGCGGAGTCAGCTTAAGCGCAAGCTGACAAGAAGTCTACGCAATGATCGCGAACAGTGGTGGGTAGCGAAAGCAAGAGAGATGGAAAAGGCAGCGGCAATAGGTAATAGCAGACAATTGTTTAGACTCGTTAAGGAAACCGGAATTAGGAACCCGACCGTTAGCGAAACAATCTCAGAGAAAGATGGACATATTATTCATTCTCAATCCAGGAGATTGGATCGATGGGCAGAACACTTTAGGGATCAGTTCAACTGGCCTTCAGCCACACTTCAGTTTCCCACGATCTCCAGTCAACCTGAATGGCAAGTTAATGTAAGTCCTCCGTCCCTTTACGAAGTTGAAAAAGCCATAGGAAATCTGAAACGAGGGAGAGCAGCAGGCCCTGACAGGTTTACTCCTGAGATTTTTAAGGATGGTGGTCCAGTATTAGCAATGAGATTAACTGAGGTCTTAGGTAGAATTTGGGAACTGGACGTAATCCCATCTGACTGGTCTCAATCACTGATTGTGCCAGTTTTTAAGAAAGGACAAAAGTCCTCTTGTGACAATCACAGAGGAATCAGTTTGACTAATATAGTGTCTAAAATATTAGCCTCAATAATACTTCGACGCCTAACTAAAGCTCGTGAAGAGCAGACTAGAGAAAACCAGGCTGGTTTTCGACCTGGACGTGGTTGTATCGATCAGATATTCACACTACGTCAGGTTCTAGAACAGAGACACACATTCAGACGCCCCACAATGGTAGTATTTCTCGACCTTAAGGCGGCATTCGACTCCGTTGATCGTAAGGTTCTATGGCAGTGTTTGTCACTGAAAGGAGTACCAAAGAAGTACATTAACCTTATAAAGGCTCTCTACTCGAACACAACTGGTAGAGTGAGAGCTTATGGCGAACTGTCATCAGAATTGATCACCTCAAGTGGTGTTCGTCAGGGCTGTCCACTCTCCCCATTCTTGTTCAACTTTGTCATTGACGTACTTTTAGAGATAACACTCTCCTCATCTAAATTTCCAGGGGTTGAACTTCTACCAGGAGGTTCACTTGTTGACTTAGAATATGCAGATGACATAGTTTTATTTGGTGAAGACGCTGACAAAATGCAGAGTCTTCTGACCACTCTAAGCAACAATGCAAGCATGTTCGGGATGCGATTCTCTCCCTCGAAATGCAAAATGTTGCTTCAGGATTGGGTTACATCGACACCCGAACTAGTGATAGGGAGTGAAGTAGTTGAGTGTGTCGACCGCTTCACTTATCTTGGAAGTCTCATCAGCCCTTGTGGTTTGGTGTGTGACGAAATCTCAGCACGGATACAGAAGGCTCGACTAGCTTTTGCCAACTTGCGTCATTTATGGCGTAGGCGAGATATCCGTCTATCAACCAAAGGACGTGTTTACTGCGCAGCAGTTCGTTCCGTCCTACTTTATGGCAGTGAAACATGGTCGGTAAGAGTAGAGGATATTCGTAGGTTACTAGTATTTGATCATAGGTGTCTTCGAAACATTGCTCGTATATCATGGGACCATCGAGTAAGTAACACAGTTGTTAGGAAACGGGTACTAGGTAAGGATGGCAAATCAATTGATGAAGTAGTGAAACTTCATCAGTTGAGATGGCTGGGACACGTGTTACGTATGCCCTACGACCGACTGCCTCGACGTGCTATGTTCAGTGGTATAGGAGTAGGTTGGAAGAAAGCTAGGGGCGGCCAAACCAAAACATGGCACAAATCCATGAAGTCACTGACAAGTGGACTGAGTCATGTTGGTAGGTGTAGACTACCTGGTTGGGGACCGCGAGATGACAGCAACCGATGGTTAGAGACCCTGAATGACATGGCTCAAAATCGTTTGCAATGGCGCAGGTGCATCCACTCTCTGTGTTCTCCCAAACTCTAATCTTCTGAATTCTTCATGTCCCTTTTTTCCTCTTTCCAAATTTCTTTCACTGGATTATACTCTTTAAATAACATCTCCAAACCCTAATCTTCCCGATTACTACTTATACTCTTATTACCTCTACCACTACCGGATTTGAATCGACAAGTGCATCTCTGTGCTAATGTGGTGTGGCAACTCGAACTGATGTACGTACGTACGAAGTTCTACGTTGTTACTGACTGACTGACTGACTATGATGCATTATAGCTATATATAAACAAAGTTCGTAAGGTAAGAAACGTTTCCCAGAACATTGGTACCAACAGTAGCAACCACCTCAAAACTCACAGGTAGTATTTAAATCAGGAGTTCATGAGGAAACATACCCGTAACTAAAAGCATACTGTTAAGTTTTATTACAGAAATACTACCCGTGAGTGATGCAACCTTTTCCAAACTAGACAAATCCATGTTAAAATTACTTAACATATGCAATGATATGACTGCACTGGTTAAAAGATAATACTCGCCAACGCCCAGACTCATTACTTTTTGACTAAGCAAAACGATTTGCTATTCCCTAAATCAGCTCATGAACACAATTATAGTTACAAACCTAACTAAAGACAGCTGAAAATTGTAAAGCAACGAGACTTCAGACGACATTTTTAATGGACCAACTAGAAAGCTCTAGTCATTGACTGATAATTAAAAGCGAATTTTCACTATAACATTCTTAGTTCAAATAATGGGAACGTGTCGAAAATCAGATCTCTTAAATATTATCCACAAAATAACCTCCCGAAGACATTTTGTGCTACAAAAGTGAGAAGACGATAATTCTTGGCTGCTTCAATCTACGAAAATATAAACTCATTAAAATTATTGTTGGATAATAGCCTAATTTTTCGTAAATATTTTTGATGGGTTTTCCAACAACAAACAATATGAGGGTAAATGAGCACAAATTTACTACTCGGTCAGCAGACAAGAAAGATGCTAACAGATAAGGTAGGAATAGATAGAGTGACCTAACAAAATTCTATAGTAACATAACCGAAAGTTTCGGACTTAACTACATTTATTTCAAAAGTTGGTGATTGATGAAATAAGCACCTGATCATTTCTCGACACACGATACCAAGAAACTAACTGAGATGGTTTTATTCAACATAATACATAGTTCAGCTTTAAAAAGTTATAGACAGGTACTAGATTATGATACAAATTATAGTTGTAGTTACGAGGACAGCTATAAATCGTTTAACATTAAAGAGCATTACCTTAAATATTTCTTCCAAAGTATTTGGCCAAAAGTCACCTTCGAAATAGGCAAGTTCAGCTGGAGAGATCATATGGGACTCATTAGCATCCTGACAGATATCTTTGTAATCCACCACAATCCGTTCAATGAGTGCTTTTTTAAGCATTTTTTGATACCATTCTTGTAACCTTTTAGGTTTAGGAATTTTCTGATCAGGTGGATGCATATGAAAAATGTAATCATCACCTTCGCTAGGCGGACAAGCCCATATATGAGCCATTGTGAAACCAAGTAACTTTGCATAGTGAATGTAACCAACCAAAAGTTCATGATATATCTCTGTGCGGAATTGTTTGGGACGAAAAAAGTAAACGGAATCTAGATAAGCCACATACACCCTTCTGGTATTAGGAAGTGGGCATTCTGATCCATATTCCTGAACGTGAAGACCAAAAAAACAAACTTCCTGACCGTCAATTTCTTGAAATGCGAAAATAGCTTTCACTCTGTAGGGAAAAGACTCAGGCATTTCTCCGTTATCACAGAACCGAGCCTTCATACCAGATTTAACTTCAACAGTTTTATCTGCTGCCGCAAGAACACGAATAATGACATCACCTGCATCGGCTTCTTTTTTCTTCAAAAAATCATTTACACGTTTTTCTAAAAAGTTGCTTAATTTGCATGTTGTCAATTTCTTAGCTGTGAAACGATTTTCAACACGCTTTAATCCATAGTTCACAATACAGTGATTGCAAATAAAACCGTCTGGCCAAATTTCTTCAAGGTATATGGCACAAACTCTGTGCCACTTCCTACCACAATGTTTGCAAAATACGAATGGTTCCTTTTCTTTGATATCATTTTTGCACTTCTCCATCAAACTCTTCTGAACGTTCCTAAAATTGCACTCAAAATTTAAAGCAAATGCAACTTACACTGGGTTACTGGAGTCACTGTCAAGGGCTATTTGATCCAAAGCTTCATTGTAACATCTCTCGCATACTGTGTATTTTTGCTCCAAAAGCCCAGGAGTTTGACCACTATCACAATATTATGACAAAAACTAAGGACTTACTCGCTCTTGTAGACGTAATAAACTGCATCGCGATATATTGTACAAAACTTGGGAGTTAAGCAGGTTAAGGTAGGTGGTTGGTAATAGTATTCCCTGCCACAGCAAAATCCAAGCGACTGCATTACGGGGTCAATTATAGTTTCAAATGTCTCAGCCAACTAAAGAAATGTGTAATCGTAAAAATATATGAAATTACCCTTGTACAGGTCTTGTAGACCTTGGATGTCTTCTTATTGTAAAGCCAGGCATTGTTAAGCATCAACCAAAAGTCATCGACTATTTCCCAAGGATCCTTATATTCTCGGTCTTCTAGTTTTCTCCGTATAGTTGACAGATCCATAGGATCAGAAACTATTTGAGGATAATCATATATTTCAAGGAACTTCCAGTCCACTGGAGTCAAAAATGGTTCTGCATCCTTTTCTTTGCTTATTTTTAGCACAACTGGTAGGAAATGCTGCAACAGTTCATTAGAGTACCATATTCTTCGTCTGATAGGTTCTCGAGAAGCCTGGGTGTCCTCCTTTTTTTCATCAGAACTGGTGGGCTCAGGTGCATCCGACTCCAGATCAGTTTTTTCATCAATCTTTGTCTTTATTTCGCTTTCACTAGGTTCTACGGACGCGACAGAACGATATTTAACTTCTGGTGAATTTGAATCCTCTTTATTATCCTTGTCTTCTAAAACTCCTGCAGAGTCAGAGGAATTCGAAGAGCTTTCTGTTGTAACTTCAACTTTAATTTCCCGTTGAATCTGTTCTTCACGCTTGGATACGATTTCTAAAGCATCCGAAAACTGATCCTGATCATAAGAATTAGCTTTCAATGAGTTATTTTCTGATGAAACAGAATTTGACATGTCTGAAGGTTGTGTCACATCAGAAATATCTCCATTTTGTAGTGGTGGACAGGATTCCCTTAGACGACGCTTTTCCTTTAATTCAGAATGTATATTGTGATAATGGAGTGCCATTGTTTTGAAATATTCTTCTGTTGACCTAGATTTTACATAAACGTCTTTTTCCATTCGTTTCACATAATCGAGAAATTGTTTCATCCTGGGATCACTGTATGCAGTAGGATTTGCCGTTGGAAAGATTGATAAAGAAATATCATTCACACTATAAAAAATAACTTTATGAAGAACTAGAACTTACAATTTTTTCATAGCTAGTTCTCGCTGTTGATCGGTGATGCGGCTTTCATGTAAAGGTACCCGGTTGAACTCACCATTCAACACAACCGTTGGTTGTGATTCACACGAACCAGTTGTAAAAGCAGTCTCTTGGTGTGGAAGCGGAGAGTCTGATATTTTGATGCCATTTAAGGATGATATGTCAGATTTGTGGTTTGAAGTGAGTCCATTTTGTGGGCAACTAACGGATGATACTGATGATGGTGTAGAGTTCCCAATGGGTTTCCTGATTGCCGAACAAACTTTGCATTCCATATCTCCACAAGAACGATAGTGTCGCATTATGTACTTAGATGAAATACAATGTGGAACATTGCACTCCTTTTCTCGAGTGCAACTCTGTAAATGAGGCAGCAAGCTTCGAATTTCACCACAATTTCGATCCGCACAGTTTGTTGCCATCCCCCTCCTTTCAAGGCGTTCACAATGATCAGCATGTAGAAGTAGTGCTAACTGCTGCTGCATGAGAACCATCTTGGCCTCCGTAGATAAACCTTGGGGACGGTCATTTGTATAGGTGATTTGATCCGTGGTCGAACCTTGCATATTTACACCAGCTACAGTACATGTGATGTGGACGACATCGAAAAGTGTGAAGAGTAAAATTTACAGCAACTTAATAATCATACAAATGTATAATCGAGTCTAAGTAATAAATGACCAGCAAAAGTAATATACTAAGTGGTCACAAAGAATTAAGTAGTGATCGAACTTATTTACAAAATAATAACCAAAATAGACCGATGTGTTAACTTTTAACGGGTCGTAATTAAACCATATTAGTATCTAGAAATAGAGTTCTAGATACGCCTTACACCTGGCACGTGTAAAGTGATTATGTTATCCCCAAGAAATCCGACTGACTATTGAATGGGGATATTGCAAAGTTCACTGTCCTACCTTGGGGGTGTGAAATATAACCATCGAAAATGGGATACGTGTTGAGCTTATGATTAACCGTTGCTGCTACCTTGACGTGATGGTTGATCCTGTCTATCGTAATGAACCAATCGAGCTATACAAACTGGACTAATCGTTTTTCAAGGTCCTACCATGATACACAGGTCGGTTGAAGAACGGTAAGACTAAAAGCAGTAAACCCAAGATTTGAGGGCGAAGTCGTACTGCTTACTGTATAGAGATGTGACGGTAGTAAGGTGTTCCCTTCAGACGACCAGCATAACAGCGATGCTACCTTCCCATAAGGAAGGGTGGGGTTAGAAAAGGCCGGCCCTAAAAATGCACACCTCACCTTATTCCACGTATTTTTGGCTCCGGCGGTAAGGTCCCAACAAGTACGGAACTAACATGAAAATTACTCGCCAAAAGTTCGTGTGTGACCAACCTCAAGCAGTTGTCCCTTGGATACTGTGGTCACGCTCTCAGGTCACTAAGACCACTTCTAACCCAATTTCCTTTTCAGGTACCTCTAGAAGAACCCTCCCACGGTGTGGGCAACCGGGAAGTGAAAACTGCCCTCATACCTCTAACAGCACATAAGACTGACCAACTTTTTCAGCTGATTTTCTTCCTGAGGACACGCTGGTTGGTTAACAATACACAGATGACATTGTTCTGTTTCAGAAAAGCTGATAAAGTGAAGTCTTCTAAGCCCCCCGGGCAAAAACGCAAGGATGCTTTGGACGCATTTCCCTATCCAAAAACTGGTTCAGTCATTGCTTACGGTGATAAAAGGGAATCTAACAGCCAAGAGCACAAACTGCTTAAATTACCGGGAAAGTCTCATCAACTTTGCTGATGAAACCTCGGGTCGATTTAAAAACTTCACTTGGTCTTAGTCAATTTGTATCACCCATGACATAAACAGGAAGTCTGACTGCTAGGGATGATCTTTTATTGTTTTATTTTGTGGTCTAAAAGTATGGACATTAAAAGTAGAGGACAATCGTAGATTACCAGTATTTGGTCAAAGATTTATCTGGAGCATTACTTGCACATCAGTCAATCGTAATAAATACAGGGCCTGGCATAAGTGCGTGCCAGACCAGTTTCACATAAAACACGGAAGGTGGAATTAACAAGACGACAACGAAAAAATCAAGGCAGAGGTAGTATCAGTGATGGTGAGGAAGATTATACATTGAGCGGTGGGTTATTTGAACAAACAGACGCAACTCTTAACATGTCTAAATATGAAGATACTTCCATTCCTTTTGCTCCTAACATTAATAATACCATACTATCTTCCGTAACATGTCTTCTGAAATGAATATCGTTTTGGTAGGTAATAGCGATTTGTATGAGTCACCAAACAGATCTGAGAAAGAAGAAACTTTAGCGTCGCCAAGTGGTCGTCCATAAACTAGTCTCACTGAAACTTTACATACCTCATACAGGAAATGACTTCCACTAAGAAGGATCGTGTGTTTCAAAAAAGTGAGTCTTGTTAACACGTAAAGTGCTCTGATATAGCAATTTGGAAAGGTAATCCATAAAAATTAAATCTAACATGTATACTACCTTCAAAGTGGCAACGCGTTTTAACTTAATTCTCAGATTTCAAACTTCATCAACTTAGTGTACATTAAAAGCTACGTCATAAAAGCATCCTATATGATGGACTGCTTGTTGTAATGTTTTGTGTCCTTGTAAGGGTAAGCAACAGAAGGGAAATCCCCAAGAACCATAAGAAGTGGGTTATCTGGGCTTCAGTACTAAGTCTTTTCTCTGAGTGATTAGTCTATGGATTAGTATTCAGAAATAATTGGTATCATTCACTTGGTAGGATGATACCTGATAACTGTATGGCTTAAAGCAAACCAACAGGTCATCTACCCAAGCAAACATGAACTAGATGGGACATTTAATGAGTTTTCACTAATGTCTTAGTTAAAAGGACTGCTGAAGATGAGTTGGCTTCTTATTTCTGCAAGCCATACAGTATTGATAAGAGTTTGTCAAGTTGACACTTCAAGTGTAATATTCAGTGGGCGACCAGTTCAGTACCGACTCCAGTGACGTTTAGTGGTTCTAAATGAGTTGTTTTGAGCTAAATATAATTTTACGTCGTTCACCAGCCACTATTAGGAATGAAAAACAATCTAAATGATATGTAATTATAGTTAGAGAGACCAATCATATGGCGGAATCGGTTTATATGACACCCATGCAATGGTGACCCATGCAATTTTTTTTATACTAATGACTGACAAACACCTGTTACCAATAAAAAAGACCCTTGTAAATTGTGATTACACATTTTAAAAATGTACAGACATTTAGAAGACAAAACGGAGACAGATTTAACCTACTACTGTTATGTAGAAATCAGACTTACACATTTTAAAATCATGGATTTATTCCGAAGGAAGAAAAGTAGAAAAGTCATTAAGTAGGAAATTAGTTAAAACGCAAAATATGGCGGTCATTTTTACACACCCCGCTATCTTGTGGAACGTTCAAACAACACATTTCATTGGGAAAATGCTGCTTTTACGCCAGTCATTTTATCCTCTTGTGAAAAGTTCTGAATTCTGTCTATTCGAAGCAAGAGAGCTTTACGACTCTTAGGTATATATTTTATATGAGTTTGGCTCTCGTTTGGACTTTTACATTTTTATGTCGGAAATTTCTCGTTCGTTCGTTAACTTGCTGAAACTAGGATTCCATTTGAATAGCTGATACGAGTTTTGGAGAAACGAACGTTTTTCCTGTGTTTCATAAAGAAACGTGATATGAATGGTGATTTACCTAAATTCAATTGGATATTGAAATTGACAGCTTTCGCACATTCCCTTCACATTCAGCCAATCTGAAAACTGATGAAAGGTTAAGATATCATCTTTCATAGTTAGTAATGACGAATAGTATATCATCAGTGTCTGAGTTATTACGCATCCCTAAGCAATTTCGAATAATTTTATTCTTCCAGTCAATCAGTTGCACCAATGAAGCCACGTTACAAATTACTTGACAGCTAAGTTTAATGTGAGGTGCCATTAGACCGCGTAATGAACACATAAAAATTGCCCAGTTATTATCCTCATCCGAACAGTGGAGTTGACAGGAATTCTGTAGTCGTTGGGTCTACTTTGCTTACATGTACTTTTTTCAAGCAAATCCCTCAATTCTGTCAAGTTAGTATAGACCCATTCATTATCAAAAGTTGGTCTTCAATACCTTACACTTACCAAGATGCAAATGAGCATAACTGAAACAAGAGAAAGGAGTAAACATAGTATATCTAAAAGGAAATCAGAACGAAAAGTGATTAGTAATTTTAAGAGTAACAAAACAAATTATTGTGAGAAATAATCATAAATCTAGGCGTGTGGTTTTCGTGCACTGAGGACATTCTGCACAGACTCCAGGCTGAGTCAGAACAATTGGCTTCTTAGGTAGAATATTATTAGTCATTTTAGTCATTCTCAGAACTAATATTTACCACCAAAAATACATATTTTTACTCAATCTACTGACTCTTTACCCTTGTCTTGTTTACCATACTCCAACAGCTAGTGTCTCCTTGTTCTTTAACATGGTTGGGTGGTGTTTAGTTTATCACATAATGGAGTAAAGATAAGTATGATGAGAGATCGACTTTAAATGATAACTAGAAGTATTCGATCTAACGTGTTAAGAATTCCCGAAATAGTGCAGTTTGAGACAGGTAGAACTTGATGAGCGTCTGGCAGCTGGTCCTTGTAGTTTAAGGATGGAAGCACTAGCATGCTGTTCATTCTGACGAACCACCACGTGAATGCTTGCACTCTGTCGACATTCCAAGTCAGTGCACTTTACATAAATTAGCAATAGTACCTTGGGAGTTTCACGTGAAAGTGAAAATGGCCCACCTGGAAATCCAAAACTACTCACCAGACCGTATACATTCTTGCCTGAAAAGGTGTAAAAATGAGCCTCAACTTTATCACCTTTAACATAATTTCTGGTCATGTACTGAGATTGAGTAGCTGTATATAGTGCTAAAACATTTTGACATTGTGATATAGATTTAATTGTCTAATAGCTGCTCTCATCCCGACTCCACTACGATATATCTGGCTGGTAGTATTGTTGTGCAATGTAATGTGCGAACCATTGAATTTCCAGGTCTAACCAGTAAATGCTCTGATTGTGATGACTGCATCAGTACTTTAAACAGAGAACACAGTTCACACGCGTGAATGCACTATATTGTATCGTTTACTGAAACCTGTCATTTTTAATGAAGAAACAACGTCCCGTGTAATCAAAGTAATCCAGCTGCGTTCATGTCCACTTAAGCCCACGCGTTTTCTGCAATATGGAGTCTATTAACATCTATTTAATAGTCAGAAGAAGGAGGAATGTCGAGAGTAGGCACACTAGACTGACATGTCTTCATTTGCAATGTATCTGTTTACTTTCACGTATGTATGAATCTGCAAATCGATCCCTCGTAGGTGTTCTGTATGGTAGTGCCGCTCTTTCTGGGTGTTCTATAGTGTCATAGACTCTACAATGCCTCTTTGTCCACTATGTGAAATACTTCCTCACAATCAAAGAAATAAATATATGACAGGTTCACTTCTACTGACTGCTAAATAATTTTACGTAGTGTACGAATACTCTTGGTTCGCGATCGCTCCTTAAAAAATCCTGTGTTGAACGTTCCGAGATAAATAATCCGGAAACACTGTTTAAAACTTCATCTAGTATCCACAGTAGTGGGGTCCTTCTGTAGTTCTCGTACTTACGAAGATCTTTATACTTTGATGTCGTAACTAAACGTTCCATTTTCGAGTCTGTTGTTACTTGTTCTTCCACCCGAATCTTCCCGCAGAAAACATGAACCATCTATACGGTTATCTCTATGTCTGATTGCAGTGCATTGGCTGGTGTGCTCCTTGATCTTATTGCTTTGCTGTTTTTAATTTACCTGATGAACTTGACCGTTGGTGTGATAATAACTGAAGTATGCTCTGTGTGCGCTACTTTGGCGTCCAGTGGGTTTAGAGGGACTGGCCTATTAGAGAGCTCTTCAAAGTTTTCACTACACCTCCTCTGCTATTGAATCTCAGTGACTAGTTCCTCTTATTTCTAAATAGTCGTTCTAGTTTATTGTATTTCTCTGCTTGTCTGTACGTTCTATCATTTCGATTTCCCCCATTTCCTCCTAGCAGCTTCTTTCGCTGATGTTTCTAGGCCTCCGGCATATATCCGCTTACGAAAATTATCGAGAACTTTTACTCACTTGTTGGTCTCGGTATATCCAGTCTGTCCCTCAGTTTAGTGTGCTCTTGTTTGGTTACTGTTGGATTTTGTTTTCTGGTTATCACTTCCGTAAGTCTTTCCCAAGGTATCTGCAAAGATGTATATTCTATTCTGGCGCGAGTGCTGTGGTATTTAGGCTGGGTGCATTTATTGTGAATCTTTGATTTTTAAGCGGTACCAACACGCACTTCAAAAGAGCCTGAGCTATTAGAATTGCTTCACAAGCGAACAACACATTTTTTAATGATATGAAATTTTACTGGTTGCTATCTATAAGCGTGGCCGTTTCTCATATGGTTTTTGATTGTTTTCTCTCTTTTGGCGTGAACTCTGACCAACCCAGAGATCACAACTTTCGATTACAAATATTCTTCTTAATCTTATTCTGGTGCTTCTTGACACCAGTATTTTCTGTCATGTCGAAGAAATGATCATTTAATCCCTTTCTAGTTGTTCTTCATAGTGATTGCCTTATGGGTAAGTAGATCTTGTAAAGCCCGGAGCATCTTGCTGAGAGCAATCTTGTGGAGATAGGAATGACAAACTTATTTTGTAAACAGTTTTTGATATTATTTGCATTTATTTTGTTAAATTTTCACATTCTGTACATTTACCACAAAATGAATGTATATGTTGTTTAAGTGTATGACCTTGAGCAACATGCACAATGTATTGAGTTTTTCAGTATTTCGGAGGAAGGCTGTATTAAAATTTTGTAGTGGTCTCTGTCTATGTGTGCAAAGCTTCTTTATTTCTATATTTATCCAACCACCAGGTTCTGGTCTGCAGCTGTATAAATTGCTTTCTTTGTTCTTGAGTATTCGACAAACCATTTGAACGTTTTACTGATAAATATGTGATTGATCTGATTTTCTTTAGTGTGACCCAGTGAAACACAAGAGCCATCAAATGGACAGTTATTTGCAATTTTCATAAAGTTCCTGTGCCTGTATATAACCCTGGTTTAATCTATAGAATAAAGTAACTAGTGTTCGGATAGTTTGAATTGTGAAACAAAACGATTTAAGTCCGAGGTTATCTTTTCAAACACAAAGTTTTCAATAGAATAGAATCATGAGAAATGTAATCCCTGTACAAAATAAGGACTTAAGTAAACATTTGACCCATAATGTTTTGACATTATCCAGTCAACTTTAGCTGCTAAAACTCACAATGTACGTTACTCCCGGACGGGGTTTGCAGCTTTCTTTTCTACGATTCACACAGAATAGGACGGATTATTTTTTCTTGGAATTACGAGCGAAAACTTTCAAAGACATCTAAGTATACGTGGTATATTTTTTAGAGTATGATTGGATCTCAGTCATATGCATATTTGATCGTATGCATATTATTATATATCCATTTTGACTATCTGACAGAACCACAAACTATCACTTTCAAAAATATAATCGTATATAGTGAGGATTTCTGTTTCAAATTTAGCACACTGTTCGTTACATTGTGTTGAGATGCTATGGCCCAAATGCTTTCTGGAGTTACTGGCTCAATTTAAACCATGATCAAACACTCAAAACCATACAACCATATGTGACGAGGCATTATAATACATTCTATACTATACTTCAAATTGTAATCGGATTTTATAGCTTACTTTTTGGAATAACCTGTTACATTCGACGAGTTTGTCACAGTTTTTGGTCTGTGTTTTTACCTACAAAACCGCCTCATATATTTTGGTTATAAAGTATCGTATTAGTTCTTGATGGCATTGGTCCTCTTTAAAACGACAGGTTGTCACACTCCCCAATTTTAAATAATACCGGCTTTCAGTTTATATATATACCATATACACTACTCCTTTCGATCGTCTGATAATGGATATCGATAGTTCCAGAATGCTACATTGTATAAGGCACATATTTCCTCATAATTCCTAGGTTGAAATTTATCCAATATGCACATATTTGCTCTTTTACATCTAAACATATACTTAGATGCTACATTTCCACTACGATCTCCCTGTTATTTCCTGCTGCGCATTTGTCATTTTCAATAATCCTGACGATACTTACACACTTGTTTCAAACACAGATTTTGATTTCCGAACAACCCTGAGCTATTCACCATGGTTCTTGCACCCCTGTTTCTATTTAAACACTTCAGTCTATGTGATACTAATCACTTTACAGTCATGTCTCAGAGAAGTTCAAAAGCCCAAACCTTCAGGCTTCCAGAC